TAAAAATAGGCTGAAAGAAAAAATCAACCCAAATTAATAGCTTTTTTTTTTTTTGCTTTGATTTTCTATAATTTATGCATTTATTTTAAACCTTTTTTTTCCCTCAAAATCAAATAAATTAAATTTTTTTGTAAACAAAATAAAGCCTATTTTTTTTTAATGGTCCCAAAAACAGTCTCAAAATATTTTTTGCCCATCACTTTATTTGACACAAGCATTAAAAATTCTTAAAATTTGAAAACTGACATATAAAAATATGATAAAAATTAACCCCACTTGCTTTGATATTTTGTATGCAATAAAATATAAATTAGACATTTTAGGAGTTATTTATTACAAACTTAATTTTGCATAAAGCAAATGAAGCTTATTTTTAGGGCCATTATGATTTTTTCCCCCATCATGACATTATTTTCATGACAATTAAAGATTTTATCCAATTAAACACATTTTACCACATTTATGAAAATTGCAATGCTCCTAAATTAAACTCACCACATTTGATGTATTCATTTTCAACACTATATTTATAATTTTACTTCTAACAAGCATCTTTTCATTACATTTTTTACTTGAAAATTGAAAATTGAAATAAATCTATAAAATAAATTACATTTTCTTTGATATTTTGTATGCAATATAATGTCATTCAGACATTTTTAGGACTGACTTTTAATTATATTTTGCATAAAGAAAACGAAGCCTAAACATTTTTTATGGTTCTAAACAAGGCTCAAAGTATTTAGTCATTTTAAACTATATCTAACCATTATATCCATATATGAATAATTTTGCTCCTAAACATTATTTTTTTCGAAATTTCTTACAAAGGAAAATCAATAAAATAAATCCTACTTTCTTTGATACTTTGAATGTAATACAATGAAATTCAGACATGTTTTGTGTGACTTTGTCAAAACACTTTTTCGAGCCTCTTCCATCTAATGTGTGAGAGAAGAGTATGAAAACATTCAGTCTGTGAAATCTCCCTAAACATGCAGAAGTGTCTGTGCATGTGACGTCTGCGTGCATCGCTGCTCAATCAGACGTGTGTGGATTAGAGGAGCGTCTCGGAGCTCCAGGAGCCTGTCATGTTGAGACGGCCGAGCATAAAGCCTATGATTTCAATATGAATGCAGTGGAGGGAAGGACACGCTCTCGCAGCGGGAAACTTCCCTTCTGAGCAGCACAATGCCTCTATCACACACTCACACTCACACACACACACACACACACACACACACACACAAACACAAACACAAACACAAACAAACACACTCACACTCAAAAACACACACACACACACACACACACACACAAACACAAACACAAACACACACACAAACACAAACACAAACACACACAAACACACACAAACACAAAAACACACACACACACACACACACACACACACACATGCTCACACTCACACACACACACACACGCCGCAACATCTGCATGCTGACGAGAAAAACACTTCACTTTGATTCCTGCACTTCATGAACGTGTGAAAAAGAGCCAATCACTGCTGAGAGGACTTGTTTTAGGTAGAAGATATGATAGTTTTTTTGGCTCGGAGGGACTGTTAAACTAGTCTAATGACAGGAAACTTACTGAGCAAATAAAAATGCATTACAATCTGAGAGAATAAATCATTAATATTCAGTATTTATGCAGTGGAATCTTTTATGGCATTATACTATTTGTCAAGTTTGGAATAACTAAGATTTTTTTACGTTTCTGAAAGTAGGCTCTTCTGCTCATCAAGGCTGCATTTATTTGAACAAAAACATGGTAAAATTGTGAAAGATTATTACAATTTAGAATAGCTGTTTTCTATGTGAATCTCTGTTAAACTGTAATGTATTTCTGTGATGCGCAGCTGTATTTTCAGCATCATTCCTCCAGTCTTCAGTGTCACATGATCTTCAGAAATCAGTATTATATGAAACAAGAACAAGAAACATTTCTGATTATTATCAATGCTGAAAACAGTTGTGCTGCTGAATATTTTTATGGAAACTAACGCTACCCTACAAAAAAAAACATTATTATTATTTTATTAATCAAGGATGCATTAAATTGATCAAAAATGACAGAAAAAGCTATTTATAATGATGAAATAAATGCTGTTCTTTTAAACTTTCTATTCATCAGTGAATCCTGAAAAATAAAACGTATCTCAGTTTCCACAAAAAACATGAAGCAGCATCTTTTCATCAAATATACTTAATCAGAAATGTGAAAATAGAAAAATAAATAAATAAACAAACAAATGTTGTATGTAATATAATGTGATTCATGATATGAGTGACTTTTCCCCCAAATTAAAGACATTATATTTTGCATAAAGAAAATGAAACCTAAAAGTTTTAAATGGTCCTTAATAATAGGCTCAAAATATTTTAGTACTAACAAGCATCTTTTTCATCCAATTTTTTGCTTAAAATTTTTTAATTTTAAAGCAGTAAAAGCAGTAAAAGTTTTTTTCATCATTGATAATAATAAGAATGACTGATTTTGATCACCAATAATAACTGATAAAAACTAAGCAGCAAATCAGCATATTAGAATGATTTCTGAAGATCATGTGACACTGAAGACTGGAGTTATGATGCTGAAAATACAGATTTAATCACAGAAATAAATTACAGTTTAACAGATATTCACATAGAAAACAGCTGTTTTAAATTATAATAATATTTCAAAATTTTTACTGTATTTTGATCAAATAAATGCAGCCTTGATGAGCAGAAGAAACTTCTTTCAAAAAAATATCTGAAATCTTCTTTTGCACCATCAGCTGAACCAATGCGATGCTCAGCATGTAAAGCGCAGGCGTCTCGTTCGGTCCAGCTGCCGCGTGTGAATCTCTGAAATAACTCGGATGAGTCTGCTTGTGTCATTATTCTGCGTGATTGGGGTTCAGAGGTCTGCGGCTCCCTGAGGTTCAGACGTTAATCTCACACCACACCTGCCTGTAATTTAGCTGCTAATCCCAGCAGAAGCCTCTTTTCCCTCCATTATGAGCTTTATCCAGCTGCGTGAGATGCGCTCGTCCACACCGCAAATTACATGCAAATACAACCTCTTTCTGGACAATAAAACTCTCGTCTGCTGACCTGCGGGAGTCAATCTGCTCATGCTGCATGTCTGGAAAAGACAGTGCACTGCTTTATCAACGACCAATACTGACATCTAAAGAGCACAGTGGCCGATTGTCAATGCTAAGTCCATGTATATGTGATATGGTCTCATGCAATATTTGATTATATCAATGGAAATGCATTCCGGGTAGCACTTCGGCTTTTCAAGATGCACGTGTATATTTGTCTGATCCTTGACGCGATCGCGCGCAGCAGCGCAAAGTTGATTCTGTGCTTACTTGATCTAATATTTTAGTTTTTTTTAAATGTTGTAGATTTACGTAGCAAATGAGAATCGCTAAAATTAATGCATCTATTTTGAGACCTGTTGTTGGGGCTAAAGGCACAGTAATTAACATGATAATTAATAGATGGCTGACTTCTCCATTTGTTGACATGACATGGTTAGATTCAGATGGTAAATATCATATATTATGTTGGGTGTCCAACATTATTAGAGATAATCACCATGTTTAGAATGAAACCATCATATTTAAAAACGTCTCGGGTTACTTATGTAACCATGGTTCCCTGAGGGGATGACGTCATGGCTGTCGCCGGCCAAACAAGTTGGTGTTTTTTCAATGTAGGCTTCAGACACGGGTCACGACGAGGCGTTCCCCATAGCGACCCCTAGAGGACGCAGTTCGAAGTTCCACAAAAGGGAACATGATATTAATCATATCATTTGTTGTTTACTACTGTAAATACATATTCAATCAGTACTGGATCTCCGTCAATACTTTCAGAATCTTTACTTACTAAAACGATTTTGTTTCTGTATTTTAAAATATATATTGATAGTATATTTTATAAATATATTTTAAGTATATTTATTGAAGAAAAAAAAATCTTTTATTTTTCAAAATAAGCAGAAAATAGTACAAACTTTGCTAAAGTGATTGTTTTGAACAAGTATTAACTCAGACATTATTTAAAAAGGCCCCTCTTGCCACCTCATACATTTATAAGATTTTTAAACAAAATAAACAACAAACACAAAATTTGTTGCTCCATTAATGTTCAAAAGTCTACCGGTCAAAAGTTTAGAATAATTACGACTTTTTAATGTTTTTGAAAAAAGTCTCTTCTGCTCACCAAGACTACATGTATTTGATTAAAAATACAGTAAATACAGTACAAATTTTAAAATATTATTATAATTTAAAAAAAGTGTTTTCTATGCGAGTATATTGTCAAATGTAATTTATTGCTGTGATCAAAGCTGAATCATTCTCATTTGCTTATTTTAAAGAAAAGACTATATTTATGCATTTATTTGATCAAAATAAATTCTACAACTCTTTTCAACATTGATAATAATCAGAAATGTTTCTTGAGCAGCAGATCAGCATATTATACTGATTTCTGAAGATCATGTGACGCTGAAGACTGGAGTAATGATGCTGAAAATACAGCTGCGCATCACAGAAATACATTACAGCTTAACAGATATTCACATAGAAAACAGATATTTTAAATTGTAATATATTTCACCATTTTTAGTGTATTTACTGTATTTTTAATCAAATAAATGCAGCCATGAAAAAACTTCTTTCTTTGTGTACATGTATTCAAAATTCACTTAAATATTTGAAAAAAATCTCAAAACATTGATTCTTGATTCATTTTTTGATTGGACGACAAAGGTAATTTTACCCCAAAAATGTGATTAAAAAGCAAAATAAAGAATTAAACATGCTATTAGAAAAGGTCACATGAAGACTATGTAGCAAACATGTTGATTGCATTCTGTTTTTAATCAACAGTATGCACTAAACAGTGTGCAGTATGCAGTAAAGCGCACACTAGTGCCACAGCAAACCCCAGCAGAGACTGTCAGACGTGTCGTACCTGTTTGGCTCCGGGTCAGTGTTTGCTGTTTGACGTCGCTTTGCCGTGACTGTTGCTCTTACTGCACACCTGGATGCTGTCGCCAGACTCAGGCTGTAACTTAACTGTGGGAACGCTGAAGATTGAAGACACTGAAAAACAAAGACACATTCACTCTGTGAGTCTCCATGTAAAATCTTCTGTGGGAAAAGACGATGCAAAATATAACACCATCATGTGAAAGAAAGAGAGGTAAAACAATGACATTTTGATGATGATGATGATGACAAGAAAAATAGAGTTCAAAATTAGTAAATCTATAACTATCAAATTTAGAATTCCAGAAACATATGATGCACTTTTACAAATATTTTTAAAACAAGACTCTAATAATGAATAATTATTTTTTATTTTTTTATCAAATAAATGCAGCCTTGGTGAGCAGAAGAGACTTGTATATGTATAAGTATTAAAATCCACTATTTGAACTATTTTATATCAAATATGTGAAAACAGAAATTTCTTTCTCAAAACATTGATTCTTGGTTTGTTTTTTGATTGGACTTGCCAAAAGTTAATTTTACACAAAAAATGTGATTAAATTTATAATAAAATATAAATAATAATATAAAATACAGAGAGATGTAGAGTATGTCAAAGGGAAATATATTTAATTAATTCAACTCATGTATTAGTGAATACAGGTGCAAGAGGCACACATGGAAAAACTGACTTCGGAGTGTGTATATGTGTGTATATATATATATTTACCTTTATCTTAACATTTATGGAGGAATGAGCTTTTCTACTGTATGTGGTTTCTTACCGGCCCAAGAGATATGCCCAACAGTAAAAATGATGCTTGACTTAACAAACAGCAGTAATAAAGACATAAAACCATAATAAATTAACACATCAGTGCTTGCACTAAATTTAATTTAATAAATGCCATAAATCCTGCTGCAATTGCTGTATCAATCAAAGCCCGAGCTGAAATGTTAATTACGGCCCGTCCTCCCCAGCAGCAGCCGCTTCTCTTTTGTGACTGAACTGCAAGCGTATATGAAACAACAGAATTAATTTTCCCTTCATTCTTCTGCTTCAAAAGCGGCGCTGCTCTATGTGTGTGTGTGTGTGTGTGTGTCAGAGCTCCGCCTCCTCGCCGGAGCCCCGCCCCCTCCCTCCCGCCAGCACGGCCTGCTGTGAGCTGATAACAGGATTAATTCAGCTGCCGCTCCTAATCTGGGAAATTAAAAACCTCATTCTCGCATTCAAATGACTCGCCCGACGCTTGTCTAACACGAACGCCTGTTTTCTGATGTGTAGGACTGAACGTGTCTGCGCTACAGCTGTGCTGCTTGGTAATGGAGGCCTGACAGCGTCCTCGATGGGGGTCTGATGTCTGGATTATGAATACATGTCATATCAGACAGGACAAAAGCCTTGAGCTCCTCTAACAACTGAAACCAGTCTGAAAGACCCCAATCATCAGCAGCCCCTCTGTGTTTCTGTAGGTGTTCAACACAAACATGTGGAAGCTTATTTCCATAATGAAATTAAAAAAAATAAAAAAAAAGGTCAATGCAACTTTTTTTCAGTTCTGAGAACTGTGAGAAATAAATTCTCAATTTCGAGAAAAAAGTCAGAATTGTGGGATATAAACGTAATGATAAAGTCAGAATTATGAGACGAAAACTCAAGGAAAAAACTGCGAAATACAAACTCGGAATTCTGAGAAAAAAAATCATAATTGTGAGATTTAAAAAAATGTTATTCAATGGTGGAAACAAGATTCCATACGAACGCTTCATTAACGTCATTAACATTAACAATGCGTTCACTGACTGTCAGGCAGCTCCCAGAGTCTCGGGGGCAGATGGGTGAAGTACTCGTGATGAAGCGCCGCCTGGGCCGAGAGACGGTTCTTTGGGAAGCACTGGAGAAATCTGGAAGCCAGTTCTTCAGCATGATCTACATAACCCAGCCTGCCAACACACACAGATATAAACACACATGAGTACAGTGCCAAGAGCATCACACACACACACACACACACACAGCTCAGGCTCTCTGTCAGCTTCACTCCCGCTGACGTGCGGCTGGAAAAATGTTTGTTGACTTTTTTGGAGTGGAAAATGCAAAGCGAGTTTTCACCCACAAACGTCCTCTAAACCGCAAAGACAAAGTCTGACACAAACACACTCACAGAAGCTCACATGAACACACACATATATATACACTGCCATTCAAAAGCTTGGGATCAGTAAGAATTTTCATGTTTTTTTTTAAAGAAGTCTCTTCTGCTCATCAAGGCTGCATTTATTTGATCAAAAATACAGAAAAACCCCCAGTAAAATTATTCAGCATTATTACGTAGCATCTATGATGTGCCGATGCGATAGACGAGTGTGACGATCCTTTTAAGGCAGGTGCAGCACTGTGCCAAACATACACACACGTAAACACACACCTGCACAAACACACAATCAGACAACCTAAAAATACAGACAGAAACTTCAACAATTTTTGTGTGTAATAGTATGAATATATGTACTTTTAAAATTAATTTGTCACACATAAGGACTATTTAAGTGAACTGCAAACCTGCAATTCAGTCAATAATCTTACAGTGCAAGTATTACGCTGTAGAAATTAATGCGATGAGAATCGAATTTGATGAGAAAAGTTTGACTTCATATGGAGATCTCAGAATTTTGATTACATTGCATTGATTCTGAGCACAGTTTGAGACATTGCCAAGATCTCTTGAGGAGACACATGTGAGATTACTGGGGTCTTTTCTGGAGAAACATCTGAGAAGGAACATCTGATAAAAGCTACATTTCCATTTAACATCATTGCTGTCTAGGAGAAACAACGGAGATATTAAGATCATCTCAGTCGATTTTTGATAACAAATGGTGAAAAACCTACAATAAATAGTGACATTACAGCATCTAAAACACGTTGCCGTTTATACAAAACAAAAATCTGTCATTAAAAAAAATATACTAAATAAAAATGTTGAGGTCACTTACTTGTTCCAGGCTTGTCTGAGTTTCTTGGGACTGTAGACAGTGAATCGATCTGCAGGTGAAACACAGACGACAGATGAAGAACTCAAACTCATGATGCTGCAGTGAGATGATTCATAATCAAGACTGACATCATAAACAGTGGAAAAACACCTAACATACACTACATACTGAATACTACTGAGCTGCATCAGTGCATCACTGTACAGCACCAGTCAAACGTTTGGGGTCGGCAAGATTTTTTTATGTTTCTGAAAGAAGTCTCTCTTCTGCTCATCAAGGCTGCATTTATGTGACCAGAAATACAGTAAAAATTGTGAAATATTATTATAATTTAAAACAGCTGTTTACTATGTGAATCTCTGTTAAACTGTAATGTATTTCTGTGAAGCGCAGCTGTATTTTCAGCATCATTACTCCAGTCTTCAGTGTCACATGATCCTTCAGAAATCAGTCTAATATGCTGATTTGCTGATTATTATCAATGTTGTAAACAGTTGTGATGCTTGATATTTTTGTGTCATCTTCACAGATGAACAGAAAGTTCAAAAGAACAGCATTTATTTGAAATAGAAATCTTTTGTAACATTATAAATGTCTTTACTCTCACTTTTGATCAATTTAATGCGTCCTTGTTGAATAAAAGCATTATTTCTTTAATTAATTAAATCCTTTCTGATCCCAAAATTTTGAGCAGCAGATGTTAGTTACAGTATCAGTAGTATGTTAGTATGTTATTCTGAACTCAGTCTCTTTGTTCTAGATGTCGATTCATTAGTTTGACCTCCTGTGGACTGGATCAATACACACCGTCCGCTCGGGCATTCAGGTATGAAACGTGTCAGAACACACACACACACACACATCACATCACATCATATTTCCAATCAATGCATCTTATTTAAAACCCAACAGCTCCACGACATGCAATTAAACACCCACAATTTACCTCTAACACTCCATCAACAGTGAGTGTTCATTAACAGCACAATTACATTTGTCATGATTTTTTACCAGGCAGAAACCACTCTGATCTGCTCTCATACAGCATTAAATTATATCTCAGCTGCTCATAGTGCAAAAGTCCAGTAAACGCTGCCCTCTGCTGCTACAGAACTCAACTACACCACTGCAATTATTAACAGATACTCCTTCATTAAAGGCTGCAAGTTTCTTTTTTCCACTTCAGCAGCACTTTCACAAAAATTAAAAATTATTCCCATCTATATTCAGAAGGCTTTTACTGAGGGGTTTGTTCGTATATCATTCACACTGATTTACATAACACTCTACATCACAAAAATAACCTCTTTTCTCTTTACTGATTAAATATAATGGGGATCCTACAGACTAACAGAGCAGAGATGGTGTTTAATGGAAATTCTGTCTGAAGGGTTCACCGGGACGCTCACGGCTGCAGTAATGCGCTTTTATTTAAGGTCACCGCATCTCATCGGCCCTCTGTCTCTGTGCTCTGATCTCACACCTGAGACCATTAGACCTTCATTAGCGCAACGGTTTATTCCTGAACACAGGCTCGTTAGGCGTCTGTCTCTCTGTGATGATGTCTTCGGCGCTCAGCAGAGGGCAGTGTGTCTTCACCGGATACGCTCAGACTGCAACACTAGTTCCCTAGCAAAAGCTACTCTCGATGCTGCGTATCAAACGCTAATGAGAACATTCTTTGTTCGACCGGTTGCGAAGCACGTGTGTCAAACATGTCAAGAATTGGCTTAAATAACCTCGGTGAGTTACGTAATTGATTACGTGCACCTGCAGGTTATAAATAGATGTGAAATGGACATACCTTCAGGTTTCTTTGTCTTCGAGACCACTTTGTGTGTGTGTGTTGTCTCCTCTGTGTTGTTGAGAGAGAAAAAAAGAAAAAAAAAGGAAATTAGATCATGTCTAGTGCATCGGTTAGGAGATGCTTGCCACCGTGTGCACAAGTTATCCTTGACGATGATCCACATGATTATTACTTGGAGTGCCTCGGGGAAGAGCATGCTATTGCTGCTCTTGAGGACGCGGAGTGTGAGCACTGTGAGTCATTTCCTATCGGAGTGCTCCGCTCGAGGCTTGCTTTCTTTCGAGAGGGGCGAGCCTCGGCGTCCTCATTAAGATCGTGAGGCTCGTGCGTCGAGCTGGCTGAGAGACGAGGAGTGCGCGAGCCTCCTCTCTCTCTTGCGCTCTCCCCAGATCACAAAGTCCTTGCCCCCTCTGCTGAGGCGCGCCCCGGCACTTCATCAGAGCGAGACGAGGACGCGGGTTCTCTTGCCTCCGGCGATATGGAGACCGAGAACGCCACCTCTGAGCGCTCCTCGCGCGACGACAAAGCTTTTGGGGAGTTACTCGAGGTGGTGACTAACGCAATGGCCAGGCTTAAGTTAGACTGGCCACAGAAGCAAGAGAACCCCAGGCACTCCAAATTAGAAGACATTGATCTCTCCCCTTTTTCCCAGACCTCCATGAGGATTTGCCTCGTTCATGGAGTAAGCTTTACTCCTCGCATATCTTTGTACCCACAACGTCGATTTATTCAACTATCGTGGGTGCTAAGGCGCAGGGGTATGTGATGATGCCTCAGGTGGAGGAGACGCTCGCGGGCTATCTCTCCACTGGGAGTTCGTCGTCACGTAAGAAGCCAACCTTCCCCACCAAGCCTTGCACAGTAGCATCGTCGCTGGTGGGGAAGGCGTTTCAAGCAGCGGGACAGGCTGGTGCTGCCCTGCACACCATGGCGGTTCTGCAGGCGTACCAGGCTGACCTGCTGAAAGACCTGAGCATGGGCGGGAGTATTAGTGAGGAGGCGTTTTCAGAGCTGCGCCGAGCCACGGATCTGTCTCTTCGTGCGACCAAGCAGACGGCCCGTGCCATTGGCCGTTCTATGGCTGCGTTGGTTGCCACGGAGAGACACCTGTGGCTCAACCTCACAGGCATCAAGGATAGGGACAAAGTGTTCCTCCTTGATGCCCCCGTGTCACCTTCTGGCCTATTTGGCGACTCCATGAATACGGTCATCACTAGGTTCAGGGAGGCCAAGAGACACGCAGAAGCTTTTGATAAATTTCTTCCCCACCGTGCTCAGGCGTCAGGGCTGTCGGCCACCCAGCCCCGACCCAATACAGTTTCTCTGTGGCGAGAGTCGCAAAAGCAGAGTGTGGCGAGCCATGCGCCCCCCCTCATAGGGACTGGGGAGCGGCTCGCCGATCTCAGCAGCCCAGCAAGAAGCCGGATCTGAGGACGATTATTTAGTCCAAGAAGAAGTCCCGAGGGTCGAGTGCCCGGGACCTGAGGGGGACCAACTAAGAGATGCTGGGCTTCCAGCCGACGTAGTAGAGACTATTCTAAGTGCTAGGGCTCCCTCCACTAGAAGAAGTTATGCCTTCAAATGGCACATTTTCGAGAATTGGTGTAGACACAGTTCACTGTCAAGTTGTTTCAGTGCTGGAGTTCCTGCAAGAGAAATTGTCCTCAGGCACATGTCCTGAGTCTATGTGGCCGCCATTTCGGCTTGCCGTGTTCTGATTGATGGGGTTTCTGCGGGAAGGCACCCTCTAGTTGCCCGCTTCATTCAGGGAGCTAAGCGGTTAAGGCCGCCCACGAGAGCGACAGTCCCTTCATGGGACTTAGCTATTGTGCTCGAGGGTCTGGTCGGGACCCCTTTCGAACCACTAGAGTCAGCACCTGTCAGGTTTCTGACCCTAAAGATGGTTTTTCTAATGGCTATTACTTCTCTGAAGAGAATTGGGGATTTGCAGGCTCTTGTCAGTCTCGCCATCCTGCCTAGACTTTACCCCTGGGCTGGTCAAAGCTATTTTGCATCCTCACCCTAATTATCTTCTGAAAGTTCCATTCTTGACCATACATCCGGTCGTTCTTGAAGCCATCTGCCCTCCATCGTTCACGACAACGGAGCAGGAAAGACTTCACTTACTGTGTCCAGTACGTGCTCTTCAGATTTACATCCACCGCACCAGCCAGAGGCGTAAGTCGGAGAAGCTTTTCATATGCTATGGGGGCCGCAACCGGAGGGCAGCTGCCACGAAGCAAACTATGTCACATTGGGTGAGGGATGCAATTGCCCTAGCCTATGAGGTGCATGGTCAAGCTTTGCCTCTAGGAGTTAGGGCCCATTCGACCAGGGGGGTTGCATCTTCTACGGCTTTGGCAAGTGTTCCCTTGCAGCAAGTGTGTGATGCGGCAGGTTGGTCCTCTCCGCACACATTTGTCAGATTCTATAGTTTGGATGTCCATGCTACTCCGGGCTCGCATGTCCTTGAGTCAACATCCCATAGGCATGTCTGAGACCTTTTTCAATGTTTGTGCGCACACACTACACAACCTTGGGGGGTCCAGGCACTTCCGGTGCGGCGGCGTTGGTATTCTCGTTCCCATTAGCATTTGATGCATAGCATCAAGAGTAGTTTTTGTTAGAGACCATCTCGGGTTACTTGACTGAAACCCTGTTCTCTGAAAAAGCGGGAACGAGATGCTGCGCCTCAATGCCGCACTGTAGACGTGCCTGGGCGTCTCTTCAGACAAAGCGTAACCTGAAGGTATGTCCGTTTCACGTCTATTTATAACCTGCAGATGCACGTAATCAATTACATAACTCACCAAGGTTATTTAAGCCAATTCTTGGCGTGTTTGACACACGTGCTTTGCAACAAGTCGAACAAAAAATTTTCTCATTAGCATTTAATACGCAGCATCTCGTTCCTGCTTTTTCAGGGAACAGGATTGCAGTCAAGTAACCCGAGGCGTACACTGTAAAGTACATACTGAGCTGCATATACACTGCATCAGGATGCATGAAGCTGCTGTCATGTGACCTCATCATTGATGCATGTTTAATTCAGCATATATAAATATAATTTCTATAATATATATTTGTATATGACATACTGCAAATTTATATATATAAAGATTTTTTTTGCATTTTTGTGTAACGTTGTATCAAAAACGTCTGGCATTCTGATCAAATAATGCCAAAAGCTGAATTCAGAATAGTATACTAGCATACTAGTTTTACTATCATATAAAGATATGTCAGAGATAGTAAGAGTATGTAAGCAAGCTTTTACAAAGTTCTGAAAAACATGCAATCAATCATATGCTACTTTAACCATTTCTGCAGATATAGAGTGCAGCATGCAAATGTTCTGTATGCAAATATGCATTAAAACAACAGATTCTGTAACCCATAATCCAATGTGTTTGACCTTTAGTGTGATAAACAATGCTATTTTTGTATTATTTATTTACTATTATACTATCTATTAATATTTTTAATTAGTTTTTATTTTTTATATTTTCAGTTTTCACATTAATTTTAGTAATTTTATTGCTTGTGTCATTTATTTCTAATTCTTTATTTTATTTAATTTTCATTTAATTTAATTTATTTTAATATTTATTTCAATTTTAGTTTTAGTCTTTGTAGTACTTTTAAGCACTAATATGTTAAGTTCAACTATTTCTTGTAATATTTAGATTTTATTACAGCTTTATTTAATTTACCAAAAACATTTTCTATTAGCTTTAGTTAATAATAACACACTGTACATTACAATGTACATTCTGTTCATTTTTCACCTGTTGCATGTTTATATAATTTGCCTAATTTAATAAAAAAAGTGCAGTAATCTCGGCTCTGAAGCCGTATTCTGTGTTTAAGGCAATCAATTTTTGCATCTCAAAATAGGTCCAATTCGGCATCAATGACGATCAGTCGAGAGAACCAATGATGCTTCATGTCACTGATAGCAAACCTGAAGCAATGCATCTTGGGATGCCACAACTTCATTCTGTTCATCATACATGCTATCATATGATGTGCAATATAACGCACGAGCGGACAGGAGAGTTTTGCAGTTTTTTTGCAGTTAACCAAAAGTAATTGCAAAAAATACTTTTAGAAGTAGCAACAATTTCTTTTACAGTCTCTAGTGCTCATATGTGTGTTGTTGAGTGAGATCTGTGTGTGTGAGTGTTAATGAGCTCCCAGAGCTCGTCTGCTGGCACACGTCACGCCTCCGGGTGGATGAGGGACATACGGGACGCTTTCTCAAGGGCGCGTCAGTGTGTGTCATTTACAGTCAGATGAACAGGACGTTTACCTGGTTTGAAGTGCGGGAGTGAGTGAACACCTGGCCACGTCTCCTCTGATGGCGTCCCCAAAACCTGCACAGCAACACAGAGAGAAAACACTCAGTCCTTCACAGAGAAAACAGCTGAAGGGCAGCGCAAAGACAGTGTCTGATCGATCTCAGTGGAATACATCGCTCCGCTGGACACCAGCAGGCCACGACGCTTCATTCGCATGGGTTTATTATGCACAAGAGTGTGTGTGTGTGTGTTTAGAGCAGGAGCAGGAGCTTTTTGAAGTCTGAAGCTTGTAAAGAGAAGGACTCGATTAAACACACACTGTAATTACAGCCGTCAGATTCTATGAGCCGAACCGCTGAGACGAGCCAGAACCTCCTCAATATGTGTGTGTGTGTGTACCTGGTATTCCCTATGTTATGAGGACCAAATGTCCCCACAAAAAAATAGTAATACCAGTAAATTTGGGAATTCATGAGGAAACAAGCTTAAAAATCAACCAGAATTAAGTTTTTTGAAAATGTAAAAATGCCTGTAGTTTTGTGTGAAGGGTAGGTTTAGGGTAAGGGGATGGGAAATACAGTCTGGACAGTAGAAAAATCATTATGAGCCCCCGTAAAACATGGAAACCATGGAAAAGTGTGTGTGTGTGTATGTGGGAAGACTGAAGCACCACTCCATTTAAAAAACAGATCAGTGTGATCATGAAGGAACTGTAAATCTGGACAGTTTTCAGTCCTGCAGTACAGGAGTAGTAATTAGGATGCAGCATTACTGCAGTTTTTAAGACCCCCTTGTTGTCCCGCTTCTCTAACATCTAGCAGACATTTCATTATCAAGGTTCCCCATTCCTAGTCCAGAAGAGTCACTTTCCCACAGAGTTTAGTTTGATCTGAATTAAACACACCTGAATCAACTAGTCAAGATCTCTGCATTTGCATTAATGGCCAGGTGTGTCGAAACTAAACTCTACAGGAGCAGGAACATGCTTTACAAACACACCGTGTTTACACACGTCACTCAAACACAGAACCAGGAAACAGGAATCACATGAGTTCAGGGAAAGAGAAACTGAAGTGTAGTTTAGCTGTTGTGTGTAAAATGGCAGGAGCCAGAATTTCGGTGGATCAGAATGAGTTCATGTGTGCAGTGTGTCTGGATCTCCTGAAGGATCCGGTGACCATCCAGTGTGGACACAGTTACTGTAAGATCTGTATTACAGACTGCTGGGATCAGGAGGATCAGATGAGAGTCTACAGCTGCCCTCAGTGCAGACAGACCTTCAGTCCAAGACCTGCTTTAGCTAGAAACACCATGCTGGCTGAAGTGGTGGAGAAACTGAAGAAGAAACTGAAGAGGAGGAAACGTCCTGCTGACTGTTACGCTGGAGCTGGAGATGTGCAGTGTGACGTCTGTACTGGAAGAAAATACAAAGCCGCCAAGTCCTGTCTGATGTGTCTGAACTCTTACTGTCAGAATCACCTCGAACAACATGAGAGTTTGTTTAGAGGAAAGAGACACAATTTGACTGAAGCCACTGGAATACTGCAGGAGATGATCTGTCAGAAACACGAGAAGCTCCTTGATGTTTTCTGCCGCACTGACCAGAAATGTATATGTGTGCTGTGTACAATGGATGAACATAAAAACCATGACACTGTATCATCTGCAGAACAGAGGACAGAGAAACAGGTATTTAAAACTAGACACTGATGAAATATTGCTAAACACTCCTTTTGCTTCATGATAATTCTTGTAAGATGATTGTAACCGATCATCACTTCTGGAGTTTGAACCTGCAGCCATTGTTTATCAGTTCAGATAAGTCACCTTTATACTGCCTCATCCTACGTTTACTGGATTCATCTCTTCACATGATGATTTAGTGCAAGTAGTTTTCTGTGAGATTTACTATCATCTGTTTGTCCTGCAGAAGCAGCTGAAAGAGATGCAGAAGACGCTCCAGCAGAGAATCCAGCAGAGAGAGAAAGATCTTCAGCAGCTGAGAGAGGCTGTGGAGTCTCATACGGTGAGTCTGGAGAAGAAAATAAGTTTGTCTCAGTCTCAGTACAGACTCTCCTCTTTCAGTCCCACTGAAGCCTGAATCACTGTGTGTCCTAACAGCGCTCTGCACAGACAGCAGTGGAGGACAGTGAGAGGATCTTTACTGAGCTCATCCGCTCCATTAAGAGACGCCGCTCTGAGCTGATACGGCTGATCAGAGATCAGGAAAAGGCTGCAGTTAGTCGAGTTGAAGGACGACTGGAGCGACTGGAGCAGGAGATCAATGATCTGAGGAGGAAAGACGCTGAGCTGGAGCAGCTTTTACACACACAGGAACTCTGAGCTGATACGGCTGATCAGAGATCAGGAAAAGGCTGCAGTTAGTCGAGTTGAAGGACGACTGGAGCGACTGGAGCAGGAGATCAATGATCTGAGGAGGAAAGACGCTGAGCTGGAGCAGCTTTTACACACACAGGAACACATCCAGTTCCTGCAGGTAACACAGATCTAGAAGAACAGGATCATAGAGGACTTGAGCCAGATCCTGCTGTGACAGGAGACTCACAGAGAAACATTTAATTGAAACATTTCATTATTATATAATCATCAGTCAGACTCTCATCTAATCATCTTCTTTTGAAAGAGACGCCACTTACAAATATCTTATCTCTTTCTTCTGGAAGATATTGTCAGCAAATACACTGGAGGACACAAAGGTAAGTGCACACACATCAGGTTTATTGACAACAGGCAGGCAGAAGAGAGTAGAGCAACTGGTCCAGGTGAGTAAGCGGGGGATAGCAAGGGTTAATGCGTTTTATCTGAGTCTGAACGAGTTCTTGTTTCCTTTCCAGGGGATCACGGGGCAACAGAGGAGCACGGAGACAATAGAGCACAGGAGCGAAGGAGAACGGGGAACAGCACGCTGGAGCTGAAGACAGACAGGTATCACAGGTAAGGGTCCGGTAAGTAAACAAGCAATGTTTGAGACCAGACAATGGTTGTGCGGGAGGAGTGCAAGGATATAGTGCTCTTGATGAGTGGAGACAGGTGGCAGGGATCAATAATCAGGGGATTGGGATCTGGTGAGCGTGGTTAGCGGTGACTGTGACTTCCTGACAGTACCCCCTCCTCCAGGGGTGGCTCCTGACGTCCGACTGTGGCGACGAGGTCGGCCACGGCCTTTGGGAGAAGGACGTCTAGGTGGTGGCGATGGATATCTGCCAGGAAGGAAGGATCCAGAACATCCTCCCGGGCGACCCACGATCTTTCCTCTGGCCCGTACCCTTCCCAATCAATGATTTACTCCAGGTGACCGCCCCGCCGCCAGGAGTCCAAGATGTTCCGGACGCGGTAGATAGAGGGTTCTGCCATGATTTCAGGAGGAGTAGGCACTGCGGGTTCGTTGGGACCTGGGGCAGAGGGAGACATGGGTTTGAGGAGTGAGACATGGAATACTGGGTGGATACGATACCAGGCTGGGAGTTGAAGGTGGAAAGTGACTTAATTTATCTGCCTCGGGATGGTAAAAGGACCTATGTAGCAGGGACTCAGCTTTCTGCAGGGCAGGCAGAGACGCAGATCCCGGGTTGAAAGCCAAACCTTATCTCCTGGGCGATAGACGAGGGCGTTAGACCGACGGGCATCTGCGAATGCCTTATGTCTCCGCACTGCCTGCTGGAGGTGGACGTGGGCTGAGTCCCAAACTCTCTCGCTCGTTCGGAACCAGTGGTCAACAGCTGGAACTTCAGAGGGTTCTCCTGTCCAAGGAAACAGAGGGGGTTGGAAGCAGAGTATGCATTGGAACGGGGTGAGGCCTGTGGTGGTCTGTTTCAGGGAGTTCTGTGCATACTCGGCCCACGGGAAGAAACGGCTGCAGCTGTGTTGGTTGGAATGGCAGTATGTCCGGAGGTACCTCCCAATCTCCTGTAACTTCCGCTCAGTCTGGCCGTTGGTCTGGGGGTGATATTCCGGAGGAAAGGCATACTGTAACACCCAGGAGTTTGAAGAACGCCTTTTAGACATGGGAAATGAATTGTCGGAGACGATATCCTCAGACGATATCTTCAGGGATGCCAAAATTGTGGAAGACGTGCTGGAACAGGGCTTCGGCTGTCTTCATGGCTGTGAGGAGGCCCTTGAGGGGAATCAATCTGCAGGCCTTTGAGAACCGATCGACTGCAACGAGAATGCAGGTAAACCTATCGGAGTTAGGGAGATCGGTAACAAAGTCAACTCCGACCTGGGAACACGGACGACGTGGGATGGGCAAGGGAATCAGTTTACCAGTGGGGAGGTGATGTGGAGTCTTGGAGATGGCATAGAATGAGTAGCGGCGGACATACTGGGAGACATCCCGGGCCATACTGGGCTACCAGTACCGAGCTTGTAGGAGCGAGAGAGTACGCTGGCTGCCTGGATGTCCAGAACCCGGGGAAGTGTGCAGTGAGCCCAGAAGGGTTGGCCGCAGAGAAGATGGAACATATGTTTTCCCTTCTGGGACTCCCAGCGGAGAAGGTTCGATGAGGGTGGCAACACGGATCTGCTCTTCCAGAGTCCACTGGATGGGACTGACCAGGATGGCTGGAGGGAGGATCAGCTCTGCTGCGGTGGGTTCGTCGGTAGAGTGGATACAAGACAGGGAGTCAGCTTTGAGGTTCTTGTCTCCAGGAAGGTAGGTGACGGTAGGAACTGGAAACAGGTGAAGAACAACGCCTAGCGGGCCTGACGGGGGTTTAGCCTTTTGGCACTGCGGAGATACTCGAGGTTCTTATGGTCTGTAATTACGGTAAAGGGGTGTTGTGCTCCCTCCAGCCAGTGACGCCACTCCTCCAAAGCCAGCTTGATGGCGAGCAGTTCCCGGTTTCCGATGTCATAATTTTGCTCCGCCGGGGAGAGTAGTAGGCGCAAGGATGGAGGCAGGGAGGCAGGGAGGCTCTCCATGGCATTGTGAAAGCACTGCTCCCACGCCGGTGGTTGAAGCGTCCACTTCCAACAGGAAAGGGAGTTGGGGATCTGGGTGAGTGAGGATGGGAACAGTTCAGAAGGCCTCCTTGAGCTTCTTAACAGCGGCC